TAGGTCCAATACCGGCGGGAGATATCTTTTGGCCAAGAAAGTCAATTGTGTGCTGGCTAACTTCATATTTTCTGGATTGAGGGCAACCCCATGTTTCGTCACACGTTGAAAGAGAGCGTCGAGGTGATGATGTCCATCGTCAGAAGAGCTGGCGATGAGAATGTCATCTCATGGATGAAACGCTGAAAAGTTTAGCAGCGTTGATGAAACCGAAAGGCATTCTGAGGTACTCCAAAAGGCAGGACGGTGTGTGACAGCTGTTTTAAGAATGTCGTCTGGCGCCACCGTTATCTGATTGTAGGCACGAACTTGATCGACTTTGCTAAAAATCGTCTTACCAACTAAAGCTGAGGTTAAGTCGTAAATGTGAGGAATAGGGTATTTATCCTGGACGGTAACTTTGTTAGGTGCCCTGTAGCCACCACAGGGGCGCCAGTCACCAGGTTTCTTGGGTACCATGTGTAATGGTGATGCTCATAGACTTTTGGACGGGCGGGTTATTCCCGTTTACTAAATTATCCCATTTGCTCGAATTCCACCTTAACCGCTTTGAGCTTGTCTGGGGTTAGTCTGCGAGGACGGGCAGAAGCACCTGGACCCTTAGTGCAGATGTGATGCATGACATTTGACGTCACAGGAGGCAAGTCATTCGGAACGCGCACGAGTTTAGGATGCTTGTTGCAAGGGTCTGTGAAAGGCTGTGGAGCTTGAGCGGCCACGTTGGCGCTGATTCCGATAACACTGAGCTGTGTCCGATAGTCTGTAAGCTTCTTCCTTTTAACGTTGACGATAAGGTCGAAGTGTTGAAGAAACTCTATGCCTATGATAGCAAAAGGCACGGCTGATACTATGAAGGGCTAGCGAGTTCCGCCAAAGGCCTAGTTTGAGCCTTAGCAGCTTCTCGCTGAAAGTTGCAATTGGTGTGCCATTGGCGGCACGTTGCTTGGTCGGCGAGGGTGCGACCACCTCATCTGAGCTACGGGGTATAACGCTAACTTTGGCTCCGGTGCCGACTAGGAATTCTGTACCAGAAGTTAAATCTCTATTACGGACGAGGCCACTTTGGTGTTGGCCGGTCGCGTCCGTCGTCATTACGGACCGGCTGAGAAGTTTTCATGCTTCTCGGCGAAGCTGCAAGGCTTGACACACTGACGCGCTGCGGTACCAGAACGTTGATGAGACCAGCAGTGAGGTTGTCTGCTGTTGGACTTAGAGCGTCGAGAGTGTGATTTCGATCGGCTGTAGCGACGATGGTTCATAGTGAGGCGTTAGACTTGACGACTAAGTGTTGCAACTTGCAGGGCTTCAATGGTTGACCGTATTCTGATACCAGAAATGCCCTAAGACGAGACGGCGTTGACTTTACTGGCGTCGGCTTATGGCTGTGATCGTTCGACGACTCGATCTGCTAAGTCGGCTAGTTTGGTGAGCGGTACGGAGCTAACGAAAGCGAAAATTGCTTGCTTATTTTCCAGTAGTCGTTGCAGCCATAGTTCGCGGAGTAATGTCTCGTCTATCGTTGATGAACCAAGCAGTTACTGCATCTCGTAGCAAGGTTGGAGGTAGTTTGTCCTCCGACTGCAGACCCCTTAAATGCTGTTGCAGGCGGACTTTTTCAGAGGGCGTGACACGCTTAATCATGGCCTCCTTTAGAGCCTCATTACTGTTTTCGGTCTGAGAAATTATGACGTCTTGAGCCTGCATCGATATCTCCTTGGGGAGATGGGACATGAGCTTACTGTATTTCGCGTAGTCGGAAGTAATCTTATGGTTATAAAACTCTGCTTCTAGATAAACAAACCACTAAAGGGGATCCATGTCTCAAAATAGTGGAACAGAGAGATACAACGCTAACGGGGGACACTACTTATGGTCTACAGAATCCATGACTTAAAAATGAATGCAAAAATTATGCTACCGTATGCAGAAATAAACCGGAAAATATAATTAATAAATAAAACGGGCCCATTGGAGAAAAGTTCGAACTATCCGGCATCTAGCTTGTTCCCGAACTCGTGGTCACCACTTAATCGAGTTGTCTTTAGCTGGAGCCCGGATAGCGATTCCAAAAGACCAGTCGGGTTGCAGGGAAACTTTTATTGGTATATAATAGGTTCCCTGTGTGCCTAGCTATAAAAAGCGACACCATTGACGCCGCTAGGACAATGGCGTGTTGCAACTGAAACCAGCGCCAAGCAAGATGGCGATGCTCACCCCTAGAAATCGAACTCAGCAACCAGTTCAACACTCCACATCGGTCGCCTAGGTGTGCAATGAAATAATAATGGTTAGAATTTTACACAGGCAGACCGTTCCTTCTGGTGTCGTTCTTTGGAGTTACTAGTAAAGCGGAATTACGATGGCTTCAAAGTGTTCCGAATGTGGTAAAGGAATCACCTCTCGCTCGAAGGCAGTTCCGTGCATTCGCTGTAACGGTTGGTTGCATATAACTTATACTAACGTTGATCTGATATTTACGAATGTCTCCAGCCTGATACTTCTCCGGCAGTTATCTTCGGATGTAGCCCATGCCGAAGTGTTTCGATGTGCAGACGCCTCTTGAACGGGCTCCCGTCACTTAGCCTACCTCCTGCAGAGTTCCTGAAAGGGCGCTTGATTGAGGATGGCCTTCCGACATTTCCTCTTTCTTCCTCCTCTGAAGCGGATTTAGCAACTCCTACAGGTGTCCAAAGTAATTTTCTGCCACTTTTTCACAATGCACGGCGCAGTGGTCAAAAACAGGAGTCCTATGCGTCCGTAGTGAGCGAAAGCAACTCAACCAATTCCGTCATCTTCTGCTATGTGTGCTCGGGATTGGAAATCGCGGAAGAGATTTAAATTATGTGAAGAGATTTTTCGGCATATCTTTCATGGATATTCAGAGTCACAAGCTGGTTCCATCAACAGAGCCGAACGCGCCTTTCAGATCAAGGAAACTGTCATAGTAGGTCGCTTATAAGCACATCTCTGCTCTGACACTTGAAGAAGAGTAAATATGCGGTCAATGCAGCCTGGCTTTTAATCATTCAGCTTTCACCTAGGCCAGCAGGTCGTCGAATGATGGGTGCAGCACTAGTAGATGCGACATTTCCAGGCAACCGACTGGCAGACGTGCACAGAGAGCGATGTTGTCAATGCAAACGGTCGGAATTCAATGGATACCTCGGTGTGGCATCTGGTCTGTTTCCAAGCACTTACTTAGATCTCACTGCTTATTTCGTGTTGACACCAGCCTTAAGCGATATTGCGCGAGTATCAGTGGTCAGATATGGCCGGTCATTTTATGGCTTTATCATCCGGTGGCCATATCTCACATCCGCACAGTCGCAGTGCAGCCTTCTATGTCCTACCACTTACCGCGTAAGTAATATGTCATCCATTATCATTGCCTGCTGCTTTGAGAGGACCCGTAAGCTTAAACAATTCGTGTGGCCTTTTCGTCGGTAATGGTACCACTGTAGGTGGGACAACAATCCGAATTAGTAAGCCGAATGGCAACTTCGAATCGTTGTTCAGCAGTTATATGGACTGGTGATAGCTTAATTCCTCCAAGGCATTTTTACACTTTGTGGGAGAGAACTATCCGATGAAGTGCATCTTAACTACGGAGAAAATCGCGTTATCCCCAGCACAAGCTGTTACTCGAATACTTTGGTTCTTAAAATTTCGAAGCATAACTCTTACCCAAACGATCAAAATAGAGTCGCTAATTTCAACGGAAAATCGAGCAGGATGAATATAACAACCTGAAAACAACTCACTTGTAGTGGTAAAATTAGGGAGCAATTTACCATTAAAACTTAGAGGTGGTGTGGTCGTGATATAGCGATCACGATGTAGAAAAATCTTGATACGCTCTGTTTAGTTCATCACACTCATTCTCGTTACTCACATTTGTTTAATTGAACTGGACAGGAGGAAGGCCTCACAGTTGTGATGGGGGCTGAAATTGCTAGTGAGTGGAACCGCTACCGTACCGGCAGGCAGATGTCCGATCAAACGCCACCCAGCATTTCGCGGAATACCAGACAGATGCATGTCATCGGAGGCAGATTGGTCAGCCGATCAGCGAATGGTCGGCGCATGCTCGTGTCGTACTCTGCAAGTACAGTCAGCAAACATTCATTTGGTGTGCAGGTGATCAATCAGGGGCCAGCACGTTCCAAAACACAGGCGAAGAAACGCGTACGCATGAGGTGCGTATTGGGACACACTCAAGCCAAGGTTTGTTATGGTATTGCATCGAGGGAAGAAACGTGCGGCCTGGTGGACGAGTGCCTAACCGAACCAATTATACAATCCACCCAGAAAGTCTGCAACGCAGCTCGAGGTAATTTTAAACAGACTGAACGTTACGAGCAAGCGTAAACCAAAGGAAATGGAACCAGCGACAGAATGCAAATAATAAGAATAAGTCAGTGGAGCAGGCTCTCGCAAATAAATGATATGATGTGTCAGCTGTACGCCGTAACGGCGCTTCGCTGCCGTGCGACCACCAGCAGTCGTAAATAGTGTATATACTCTATAAATACGCAAGCGCAATCTTGATAATCGACCTCATGATCGCGGTCCAATCTCCTTGATTTCCGGAGAGCTACTCGACGATAGCCACACTAGTGTTGAAATCTCTTCTAACCTAGCAGTCTATTTCACTCTCACATTCGCTCTCTTCTGACTACTGGTTTCCACCCACTTTTCTCTGCTTCGTTTTGTTGGTCCCCCAACATCCACTTTTTCTTCATCATTGTCGTTTTCACGATTGTGCTAAGCGGGTCACCTCCCTATCAACGTTTGGCGCTGGGATCCGAGTTGTTCGATTAAACTGCATTTTAATTCTTTTGTACTCAAATCTGTTGTTGCGCACAGTGGCAAAGAATTTCAGTTTATACGTCCACCTCTTTTGCGTCATCAACATCGTACAACTCATCATTTGCGCCATCTCCTCCCAGGCTAAAGCGCATCGTTTCATGAGATCATTACACTACTGTTCTATACTTTTAGCGTTCCCCATTCCCTTCTGACTTTTCGAACATGGATCCACAAAAGTTCATTGAACTGCGGAAACAAATGTTAGAGAACAACGAAGAAGTAGCTGATTTTATCAAAGACTTGGATGCTTGGAAAGCGCAGATGGAAGCTCAAGATACCCACTTGCGCCATCAAGAGCCAAAAGCTAAAGACCTGCCTGCTATTCGTAATACCCTATACAAGAAACAGCGAAAAGTAGGCATCTGTGCAGTACTTTCTGATTCACTTACGTAGAAGAAGCTGAACTCGGCTCCACCACCCACCAAGTCCGCCGCCCGCATCAGCGGTTACGATTACAGGGCCTGGGATAGATTCGACTATGACAAGGCCCTGGAAGCTGTGGACAACAGGCCATTGCCACCGTCTGATGCAAGCAGCAGCGAAACTGACGAGGAACTAGAGAACAGACGCCGGATTGCCCTAGCTAGTGAAGTCCGTGAATTGGGAAATCAACGTTTTAAAGTAAGTGTGAATCACAACCTGTTTGTTCATAAGTGAGGCGGCGCGCTTTTAGCCGCCACAGTTCTGCTTGCCCAAACCATCGGTTACGCATCTTATACAGGTGCACAAAGCTTCAAATACCGTAGGTAATAGCATAACTCGAGAATGTTGAATCTGGTGCGTTCAGTACAACATTTCTGCCATTGATCACATACACTTGTGTCTCCGAGGTTATGATTTTCTTTGGCGCAGCGTACTTGCGTCCAAGTCATCTGTTGAGCTATGCCACATTTCAGTCGGTCGCTGTATTGATCCCATGAAACAAATCTAGTAGGGTCAGTTGTGGGTACCTCAGCTCCACTCTCTATTTCTGTCGTATATATATATATATATATATATATACATATATATATATATATATATATATATATATATATATATATATATGCCCCATGCTGAGGCTGATGTTGCATTCGTGATACCTCTTCACCGCAGTTGGGCTAAACCAACTTACACTTAAACAAGGTCTTTTTAAACTGCCTAAATTTAATTCCACTTTATTTGGTTTGTTCTGCCTACCTGAATAATTTTCTATTAACTGGCCACATTGCTTACGCTAATTTCGCTTATCTTCGGTAACTTTGTTGCGTTTGTAGCATTTTTAAGTAACTTGTGGACATTTTTCCTTATTGCGGAATCATTGCTAACCAACTTACTTCATATGCTAATTTATCTAAGAGTTATGCCACCGTACCTGTATGCATTACTGGATTTATTTCATTTCATCTTGTTGTTTCAAGTGAATGGCCATTGTTTGATATCCCCGATGTGGCTGCGCTTGATGTGCATGTTGACAAGGTGCCTACCTGTCTATTACCCACTATCTTGTCCATCATCTGGCTCCAGGAGACAGTTGGTCGTTGCCGGCGGGGACGGGGTGCACGGTTCTTATGGCCGTGTTAGGATCAAAGAGTGGTTCCATGCACTCAGTGTGGAGCGGACTACGGTCCAGCCACCGCCTTGTGTGCTCTTGATTCCCAAATAAAGCGTGCTTGTGTTTGCCTGTGAAGGAGTGTGGGCCGGCTCCGTTGATGAAACGTGGCTCCCATCCACATGCATCCCAGTCTTAATACTTCGGTTTTACACCGGATATGGGGTTTGTGGTTGGAGCTGTGGGTGGTGCAGAGCAAGCCACCCATGTTCCCTCTGTAGGCGCGGGAGTCCTGTGGCTTGCCACAGTGACAGGCAAATCCGAAACCGGATGCTGCCAACCAACCGGAAGTCCTAGCTCGTGGGGCTAACTGATGTCCACTGCACAGTTCGTAGCTGACATGGCAGTGGAAGGTGTGTCAAACTATGTCATAGCAAGTGTCAAGCACGCAAGTCCGTGGCTATCAACCTTTGCTTAGTGGCACTAGTTGGTGGCTTCCAGAAGTCATGTGGTCGGAACTCGGCAGGGGTCCAACGGAAGGCGCACCACTGACGAGACCCAGAAGGTCGAAACAGCACTGTCTGATGCTTTTGCAGGCTAACCAAAGCCTGCTGACCGAGAGTGGACCGTGATGAACTATCTCCGTATATATATATATATATATATACATATATATATATATATATATATATATATATATATATATATAAGCGGCCTGATTGGTTTGATGAGAACAATGCGACGATCGGCGCATTGGTGTCGGAGAAGAATGCGGCGTTTGCTGCACATGTTGCAGACCCCGGTGACTTAAGAAAGAGTAGTCAGTTTCGCAAACTTCGACGGCGACTGACCCGAGAGCTCCGTCGCATTAAAAATGCATGGTGGACGGAGGAGGCGAAGCAGATGGAATGCTACTCCGAACGCCGTTAACCAAAGGAATTCTTGGACTCCTTGAAGCCGGTGTAGGGACCGAGATTGGTGCCGCTGAGGACACTGACCGATGGTAGTTCAGGCGCTACCTGCACACAAACTGCAGACATAATGCAGATCTGGCGAAAACACTTTGACTCTCTCTTAAACAACCGTTCAGAGATCGACTGGCCTACATTGAGCGCCCTCAAGCAGCACGATGTGAAGGCAAATCTGGCGGACACGCCGACACTAGATGAGACGTAGAGAGCACTTGCTCAGCTGCGAAACGGCAAGTGTGCCGGTGCCGACGGGATCCCGCCTGAAGTATTGAAACACGGCGGACCCGCATTGTTGACTGCACTGCACCACTTGGTGCAACCCGTGTGGCCTGAGAAGGAGGTGTCTCCTGAGCTGAAGGATGCCCTTGTGCTACCACTGCACATGCGGTCGCGAGCACCTGAGTCAGGCAGGCTTAGTGAGCCATGAGCAAGGCCACTCGGGACCACTACCGAAGCGACGACGGGTCCTGCAGATAACGTAGGCAGAATCAGCGCAGCGTTTGTAGGTACGCTGCATTCAATTTCCTAACCGCGTGCTTGCATGCAAAGTTTATTTATTTCAGGTAGAGTGGGTTTTCAATTTTTTCCTAATGCTTCCCTTTTCAACTAAATGTCCACCCGTACGCTTTTCTATACACCTGCACAACTCGCTTAAGCCAGTTGTAGTTAATTTCGATAACATTTTCGTGTTTGTGTCATTTCCGTAAAATTTACTTTCTGACCTCTTGAACTTATCTCGGATCCTTTGTTAACAACCTGTCTCATGCTCATTAATTTAAGGTTTTTGTCACGTTTCTTTATCCACTATTCGATTTATTTTCCTTGCTATCTTTCTCTCAAATGATTGGCTGTTGTTTGATATCCCCTTTTTGGCTGCGCTTGATGTGCATGTTGATAAGGTGCCTACCTGTCTATTACCCACTATCTTGTCCATCATCTGGCTCCAGGAGACAGTTGGTCGTTGCCGGCGGGGACGGGGTGCACTGTTCTTCTGGTCATGTTAGGATCAAAGAGTGGTTCCATGCACTCAGTGTGGAGCGGACTACGGTCCAGCCACCGCCTTGTGTGCTCTTGATTCCCAAATAAAGCGTGCTTGTGTTTGCCTGTGAAGGAGTGTGGGCCGGCTCCGTTGATGAAACGTGGCTCCCATCCACATGCATCCCAGTCTTAATACTTCGGTTTTACACCGGATATGGGGTTTGTGGTTGGAGCTGTGGGTGGTGCAGAGCAAGCCACCCATGTTCCCTCTGTAGGCGCGGGAGTCCTGTGGCTTGCCACAGTGACAGACAAATCCGAATCCGGATGCCGCCAAGTATATATTGATCACACTCCGTGTGCCGGAATTGTGCCATCGGGGACATGGCGGAATAGCAAAACAGAGTTAAATGGAGAAAGAAAACAAACAATTTTTCATTCCTTTTTCTTCTCACAGTTTTTGAATTTTTCTGATGTCATCTCACCAGCCGTAACAGACCTATTCAATAAAACACTCTCTGGATGATCTATCCTCAGCGACTGGAAATGATCGATAGTGAGATTGCTTCCCAAGAGTGGTGATCCGATTAAAATGGAGAACTATAGACCGATCTGTTTGACGTCGGTATTATCCAAAGTTCTCGAGAAGGTTGTGCGAAAGCGTCTGCTGTCGTTCTTCGAATCGATGGACGTATAGACGCCAGCGCAACACGGCTTTACGAAACGGCGATCCTGCATCACCAACTTGACGTACTCAAACCACCAGTGAGTACGAGCTCTCAATGAACAGGAGGATGTTGACGTGGTGTACATCGACTTTAGTAAGGCGTTTGACAGAGTGAACCACGAGGTACTCCTTCCTAAACTGTGGATATACGGAATCGGTGGCACGCTACTTCACTTGTTACACGAGTTTATTGTGGGACGACGGTTTAGAGTGCACTTCAATGACTACCTGACAGACTGGTTTCCATCGACTAGTGGCGTGCCTCAAGGAACTGCACTTGGGCTAGTATTATTTGTTATTCATATCAACGATCTACCGCAACAACCCAGTCACCATGTACCCTGTTTGCATATGATTTGAAAAGCTGGAGGATTATTGAGAAGCAGGAGGGTTACGCTCCAGCCTGACTTAGATCGACTGTCAACGTGATCCACTGAAACGCAACTCCCTCTTAACGCAAGCGAGTCGGAGTTCATCAGTATCACCAGACGTCCAGCCACTCGATCATACACATTGGACGGCCAGTTGCTCCACCCCAACACATCTGTCAGAGACTTAGAAGTGCTCTCGCAACATGATATGAGACCACTAGAAAATACAGAGAAATTGTACTGTGCGGGACTTCGTATGCTCTGAGCATTACGACGCAGTTTCTTCACATGGTTCGAAGAAACCGTCCCTCGCCCATCACCTCGCTCATAAGACCGATCCTTGAATACGGGGCCTCAACTTACCATCCGATAACCCAGTGTGAAACTGAAAAGCTGGAGAAAATACAGCATATCGCAAGTAGAATGATACCGAGTCTACGAAAGCTTCCGTATGAAAATCGTTGTGAAAGGCTCGGACTCTACCCACTATCCTACCGCTGAGTAAGAATTGACCCATCGAGTACTACCTTTGAATCACTTCCCCATACTGCGGCCAATATTTCACCTGCGGGAACCCTGTAACACCCGAAGATACCGTTACAAACTCAGGGTCATTTGCGTGAACAAAGTATCACATCAGCTTTTTATAGAACGAAAAATCGTAATCTTATGGAATACGCTAAAAGAAGGACTAATGGAGGCCGATTCTGTGAAGTGTTTTAAAACACGTATCAACTGTTATTTCGGAAACCTGTGCTTATGTGAAATGGTGCACATACAATGGAAAAATGCATCCTATACCTGGAAATAATGACACCGATCGGAATTCTTAACGGAACAAGGACAAACGATTTCTGACCAAACAATACCGCTGACGATTCGCAATCAAATGCTTTTGCTTTTTCATAATTCGATAATGTTGTGCAGAAACCTTTCTACCTGCTCTTAGATATATTCTCAGTCTCCGGCCAGATATAGAAGAAGGCATCACTGTGAGTAGTCCATAGTCTTTCGTAACCAAAAAGTGAGTCGAGCTGAGCTTGATTTCTTGTACGATGACCTCAGCATACAGCTACCTCTCTGCGAGTCTGACTGCGTCTGGCATCTCAGAGTTAACTAAGCGGCACACTTTTTCCCGCTTGTTTACAAAATTTTAGTCGGTAGTGAGAGCAGCACGCAGGATGTACTTCAAATTTGAGCAAGCTTTATTTCCTGCTTTATAGACTCTTGGAAGCCACATGAAAAATTTCTACGCGGTTATTTGTTTCCCCATCGCCAATGCGTCCTTTTCCCTCATTGATAGCAGACTTTAGGCTTTCCCGGCCGACTAGGTTTTGCTCTAGAGGAGCGGTGTCTAAACTTTTTGCAAGGAGGGCCACATTTTGTGTGGCAAAAATATGTCGGGCCATATTCATTCTGGCATCAAGATGATAAAAAATTACACATGTGCGAAAAATGTCTAAGCATGAATTTATTATTTCATGGTGGGGCTACGGGCCAGTTGAAATGTTAACGCTGGCTGGACTTCGGACATCCCTGCTCCAGAGCAAAGGACTCTTAAAACCTATCGGTCTATTTAAGCAGGACAAAATCAGCTTCGGAATGGCTTCGCCCACAAATGTGGATATCATTGACAGTCTTTTTAGATCACAATTTTTTCCAGGACGGTTTACATGTCTCATGTTCAACTTGCCCTTACCGATGTCGAGGAGTCTATCATTTTATCCATAAATACTGGAAGTCGTTATTGTAGTGCATCCTGGGTGTTGGATCACTGAACTCAGGTGTGGGGCAAGTCACAAGATTGGTCTCACCTGATTTCGCTAACTGTTGAGTTACTTTGGTTAAATACTTTTCATTATTTTACTTTCTTGGTGCTTTCCACGGGTCCACAGTACTCAGACTTACACATCGAGATACCAGTGCTTGTAGTGCACAACACAGGTAAACATTTCGTCTCAACCCAATCTGCATCGCGCGCCATGGCGGGACTTCGTGTCGTTGAGTTAGCACGAGACGAGTAGAAAGACTGATCTGAAATCTTCATGCGCTTCTGGTCACCTTGTTAGGCCAAACACAAAGCTGCTCGGAATACCGACTTGTGACTGCTCTTCTTTTTCAGGCTATATCTCGTTCCGACAATTCTTACTCAAAATCTTTACGAAATAGTATTGGATTTCAATAAGATGTCGAAAGTGCTCAATTTGGCAATTCCGTGCATGAATTGTGAATTTAACGAGACACCACACGTTCGCCCGATTGTTTGGATGTTATGTATAATACGAAGTCGAACGGAAGCAACACAAGTGTTTGTAGTCGAAATACTTAGTAACTACTAATTCGTCAGCTGTACGCCGTAACGGCGCCTCACCACCGCGCGACCATCACCACTCGCGCGTGGGCTGCGTATACCGCTAGGATGTCCGCCCATACGAAGATTTGAACCGGTTGCAAGCTAGGTGTGCAGATCACTCGACCACCGGCCGACTGAGTGATACCCTAACGTCCACGAAATCATTCCAATTCATGGAGAAATCAACCATCAATAATTGTGTTAACATCTCGAAAAGCCAATTGGAAGTCGCTAACCGCAGTCGATCACTTCATTTCGTGGTCATCTAGGCATCGATTTTTTGGTAGGCTTCAGTAGAAGAGCATGCTTTCAAGGAGCATCGGCTGTTTCGTTCTTAGTGCCCTTTTTGGTTTTTTGAATCTAGCACGAAGCTTACCACTAAGAGTTTTGCGAGCTTCGTCGCGTTCACTTACGTCCTATGCAGCCACATTGAGAGGCACTAGTTTTCAGTTTCCTGCTCTTTCCGATAGATTACTGGAACCAGAGATGTTACCTGCTTTCCACATAGCGGCTCAACTTACTCGGTATTGCTTTTGTAGGGAAACGTGTTTTTCTCCTACTACTCACTTCAAATTACTACATCTTCCGTTTCTCCGCTTATCGCTTTCGTGATCTTCCCGTTATGTTTTCATTGCATCCGTGATTACTTTTCCCTTCACACAGTTCTCTTTCACTGATGTGTTGTTTCATCGGTTTTCGTATACCACACGCTGCTTCTCAGTGCAGCATTTTATGCAGTCCACTAACGGGCCACTGATATTTAAAGTATCTATCCCAACTACATCAGCCACTTTGGCAATGCTCTTCTTATTTCACGCAGTTGTATTTGTATTACAAATGAGTAGTGGGGATTTTTGTATTATTCAGAGATAATTCATCACGATCAATTTTAGTCAGTAGGCTTTAGCAAGTCTAGATCCGCACCAGACAGCGCTGTTTCGACCTTCTGGGTCTCGTCAGTGGTGCGCCTTCTATGGGGCCCTTGCCGGGTTCCAACCTCATGACTTCCGGATGCTAGCAGCTAGTGCCACTACGTCATGAGTGATGTATTTGTCCTTCTTGCGTTAATCAACATCCCGTTCGGGATGTTGATTATGTTCACAATCCAATACGCTTGGACTCGATTGCTTTCGATCTCTCTTTCTGGAATGGTAAAATTTTGCCTATTTTTTACTTTCTTAACCGCTGAACAAGCGGTTTCATGATTTCAGTCAAGCGGTTTGTGGTTAAATACTTCCCATTTCATCCACCTGTAGTTCCTGTGTTTGGTTCGCCTATGCATGCACTCATGCATTGTTATTCTTCCACTATCGGATCTGTCCTGCTCCTTTATGCTTGTCCTTTGTTGGGCTCTCTGAAGTTCCCAGTCCACTCAACTTCTTCCGAATTTACTCGTCTGAACCATAACATCGCACATGCATCTGGGGGCCCATCACTCTTTTTCCCCACTTAACCGACCTCTAACTATTGGGTGCTATTTACTACGTTTGTGGGCCCTCGGGATTGCATCCCCTTCGGAGGCTATATGCATGGAACCTTCCATAGCCCCTCTTGCGTCCAGTATATCGATAGTGAGCTACCTCATCTCTATAACACTTGCATCATTGATTCAAAACTCATCCAATGTTTTCTTATTTGTAATTCGTGTTCGCATGCGAATTGTTCCGTCTATTTTCGTAAACCGCAGAGTCCTAACAACTAGAATTATCAATATCACCGAATTTTCCCATCCGTTTTTAATGCTTCAGGAGAAACAATATGAAGAGGCAGTGGAGCATTATACAACTGCTATTAGACTAGCCCCAGAAGATCCCACACCCCTTACAAATCGTGCCCTGGTCCATCTGAAGCTGGAGCAGTACGCCTCCGCGGAAGCGGATTGCTCCGCTGCTCTGGTTTTGGACAATAAAAATACTAAGGCGCTGTTCCGGTGAGGAGACTCATATTTTTAACTGTGCACATTTTCCAGTTACACTGAAAATTTTTTCACGTTCTGACGTTGCTACTCGCCCTCTATCCGTATACGTTATTTGAATGCTACATTCTAACTGTTGACCTTCATGCTTATGCGTCACTTAGTAAATGCGCTTATTTCTCATTCACGCGAGGAGTGTCTGCCTAAGAAACTTGCGTTTCTGCCATTTGTGTTCTGAGGGCTGATGATAGCACGATACTTACCTTCAACACTGAAACCATTTAACGTCTGTGTGACAGGGCCCCACGCTTGTAACCACCTCCTACTCTTACCATCCAGTGCCTGGGCTCTGAATTGGGAAACGCTGGCTTGGTCCGACATTGTGCCATGATCTACTTTTCTCCCTGACTGAACTTCTCATTCCACTGGCCCCCTATCGTCTCCCTCATTTTCTTTCTCAAATTCCTCTTCAACTGTTATCATTGGAATCTCGTTCTGCGCTACTCACTGCAGATATCTTTTTCCTTTTGGTTCTGCAACTATTTTACAATTTATTTAACAATCAATTTCAAGGACAGCATTGTTGCTTTACTCTGTTGATTGTTTGATTTGCCTCTGTTAAGTTGCCTAAAATTCATCTCTAGTAGAATATGTCCACAAAATCAGAAATACTCAAAAGAATTTTCCAGAAAAATTTGGGGAAGAAGAGAAAGCACTATGCCCTATTGGCAAGTTGGACTCAGACATTGTCCTGCTAATAATGCACAAATTCCGCTAATTGTTGTCCAGTAATGTCTGATCGCTTCTCTAGAAAACTGAGGATCTCAAGTCTTGTACAACGAACCGAGTTCTCGACCGCAGATATAGTGATGCGAAAAATTGGTTACACCTCGACATTCAAGATGAATTCAAGAAACTCAGTGACTATCGACACATCAGATCCGACCGTCCATGAAAGCTACAGCACCGTTTAGCAGCTGTTATCACCTACATTTGCGAAGACGTCGATTCCACAACTGTCCGCTTATTCAGCAGCTCCCATAAGCTACCCCTTTTGGAATGTAACTCAAAGTTTATCTCTGGTTCTCTATCTATTGTAAACGTTTATGTAGCGCCTGACACAGCACTGTAAGAAATAAACATGTTTACAAATCACCTTGTCTTGGAGTTGCGCCCGAAGTTAGAATGTTCCCTCTTCATCATCGCTGGTGACTTCAATAGCAGTGACACAGTCTTCCTTAAAGTGCTGGGTCTAACCACCTTAGTAGAATTTCCCCACCAAACTTCACACACATTAGTTGTTGCTACCAGACATAACTTTTCTTCCACACTAAAGGACGCGCCTTGCTTGGCAATCCGGACCACTGCCTCGTGAGGATATGGCCGAAGAAGGCCAACTAGGTTGCGATGTCAAGAAGGCGATTCAGAACTGTCAAGCGGCGAAACTGTTCAATGGAAAACATTGCAATGCTGAACTTAATGCCCTACTTAACTAACTTCTCAGTTTTCAACAATGAGGACTTGTCAGATCAATCCGAGCACCTCGTAAACTAAACTACTTTTTTGTCTCAACCTTTATTGCCCTATCTGTCTTCGGATGGATAGATTATCATCTCCACCAATCAAACAACGGCTTACAAATATGAACTAACGGCTCATGTCAAATGTCTGTCCGCGTCTAAAAAAACTGAGGTAAAAAGCTTAACCGGTCTATGCATTATGACCGTTTTAGGAAATCACAGTAGCCGTGATCTGTGGAGGCACTTGAAGCAAAAGCTCCGGTAGCCCACTCTATACTGGGTATGTAAACAGGCTCAACACTGACTTTGTCCTCATCAACGAACACATTTCTTCTACCTTTCTTCTTCCCCTCTGATCTTCCCACCTTATTTGTGGCCACACCAGTGTTTAGATGAAACTCAACAAAGACTAAACAAGGCTGGTGGCCCTTATGCTCTGTCACCATGCGCTCTGATGGAGTGTGCGGATGCGTTACCGTCACCTCTGACAGCGATTTTTAGCCGGTAGTACCCCTGATATTTTGGAAGCATTTGGAATAGCATCTGTGCTTAAGAAGGAATCACAGAAGTATCAGCCAATTGCGTGCACCTCCGTGCTATTGAAGATGCTAGAAAAACTACCTATTCCCCGCATTTCCACAAGCGATCATAAGGGTGATATCAAACAGTTTGCATACAAGCCAGAGCGCTCTACACTGGATGCCGTTTCGTATTTTGTGCATTATATTACATCCGCTTTGGCTGAAAGAAGCTAGACCGTGCGGCTCCTGTTCTCTATGCCTTTGTGAGCCTTGATAGATTGTTACTGCTAAACCTTTTGTTCAGAAACATCGTTCCCCCATTTACATGTAACCTAATGCTGTTTACTCACGAATCGCACACACTTCATGATGCTTTGGATTAATTTAAGATCCTCTCGTTGCTTTTATGGTTAACAAACATTTTAGTGCGTGCTTTAATTTTTTTCTCCAATATTCCGACCGACTCTTTCACCCAGTCGCGTAGCGACTGCTTTTGCCACTTGGGGCGTCGTAAGATTTTCTTCCTTCCTGTCAGTTGTAAATCCGTAAATCCACGACTGCAAACAACTATTCAATATTCTGTCTCGGGGAACAGCAATCAAAGCTAGATATTGGGTTGCCCGCCCGAAAACACCGCACTCCACTACACGTTTCAATCTTGTTTGATCTCATCGGGTAGATATCAGGCATCGAACACGGGAGCACTGGAATGTTAGCGGAAACCACTACCCCTTGGCCACGGGGTCACGATAGGAAACACTTGTCACAACGGTGAATGACTGTTTGGAGAGGCCATTTTGAATCATTCGTTGTGAAATCATCTCGACGAGGCTGGACTTTAAGGCGATCTGATGGTTTGCGTGCCCCAGCGATCCATTGGGCTATGCTTTTTACACCTTCAGAGCCACTCATACTAGAATGGTCAATGGCTAGTGGCCTGACAGACTCAGTCTTCTGGCCCTCTAGGTTGGATGTTGGAGTGAGAGTGGATCCTTAATCCAGTGCCAATACCCCGATGCCTTACGTTAAGGTTTTCAAACCAAAGCCTGGCAACTTGACAGTATCCTGCCCACGCAATACAACACTCCCTTTAAACAATCCCTTGATGCTGTGGCCGTCGCAGAGGAAATTAAAAGATGCCCTATCTGCTGCATCGCGCAGGGTGGGTAGGTGTAAGGATGCTACTGTTCAAGCCTTCCCGTCTTCTTATTCCCCCTCTTGCGCTTTTTCATCCTTATCGTTCTGCTCCCACCACTTTCATTCACCTGTTTTCAGCTCCCACTCCAATTCTTGGCCCTCTCACATCTTGGTTAAGTAACCGTTTATCTTCTAGTTTCAACTCACGCAATTGCAAAGTGTCGCTCCGGTCCAGTCGGCAAGTTCATGTCCAGTCAAATGGACGATGTCAGTTCATCCCTTCCTATTTGGAGCCCTCGATCCTTCCTAAGATTAGCATGCCTCAACGTGCGCACTTTGTTGCAGATTGGCCAACAAGCAGCACTTTCCCGAACCTTGGAGACCCTATCAATCGATATATGCTGCTTATCAGAAACTCGATTGCAGGATTCAAATTCTGTATTTACTCTGCGATCCGCAGTGTACGACACCTGTGATATTTTCTAATTTCGCTTGTCCAGAAATGACGCAGCTTCAAATGCCGGTCAAACCGGTGTCGGTATTGCTCTTAGCCTACGGACTGAATCTGCCCTCATCGATTGCATTCCAATGGACAGCCGGATGTGCGCTGTCAGTTTGGCTGGATCGTTCAGAGCTTTGAAGTCGCTTGGAGGCAAACGGTGCTTGTTTGTCATTGCGGCTTATATGCCCCAAAATTGTAGTGCTTACTCGGTGAAAGGAGATTTCTATCAACAATTAAACGCGCTCTTTCGTAACAGCAAAAGTACGGATACTGTGGCGCTCGCTGGTGATTTGAACGCTCAACTTGGAAAACTGTCCACTGATGAGCTTTATCTGGGTGGCCAACACGGTGTACGCTCCTGTAATGATGGCGCTGAGCGGTTGATACGCCTCTGTGAAGATGGTGTTCTCTTTCTTGCGAGCACTAACTTCCGACACAGCACTCACAGCTGCTTGAAATGGCGCTCACCGGACTCTGACCAGCCATGGTCGTAAATCGATCACCTTGCGATCAGTTACCGCTGGAAAGGATGCGTTCAAAACTGTCGCATGTGCGTGGACTCTGACCACCCACTTGTTTGCGCCGACCTGGTGCGTTTCGATGGACGTCCGAAACGGTGCTGTGAGTGCATAGAGACTTGCCAACTGACGAAGTCAAATGTTCTGAATACGTATCAAAGTACGCTGGCATCTAACCTGAGTTAACGCTCATTAAGCACCGTTGAAGATCACCGGTCGCACATCCGCGATGTTAACAACAGGCATGTCTTCATGTGACAAATCAAATTGCCAGCCTGGACATTGGGTCTCTACGCAGTCTCTAGAACCTCTGGATGCTCATTAACGCGTTCCGGCTGGAAGCGATTACAATGAGGCTGGCACAGTTCTTAGGGCGAAACTGCGTGCTAACAAGCAGAGACCGCCGTGCGTGGTGGTCTCTTCGTGCCTCGGAGATGGAGGCAGCCGCTGCCCTTGGTAACCATGAGAACTTATTCCGTTTGATACGAGAAATGGGCAGCACGAAACGTGGTGTTAGCGAGATCATATGCAATGAGAGTGGATAGCCGATCCATTTGTCAAAGCGCTGGGCGCCTTGGGCCGAATACCATGAGAAGTAGATCAGTCAGTCAGCGTTGCCACTTTCTCTCTCGGCCAATGAGCGCCCATTATCCCTGGACCGTCCCATTAGATCCGCCGTTGCGCACAGAAATCGAACTTGAGGTCAGACGGCTGAAACTATACAAGGCTGCCGGAGCAGGTAGACTTCATCCAGCCCTCTTCAAATTTGGGGGACCTGCTCTTTTGGACGATTTACATAACTTATTGGTAAATCTAT